GCAGTCAGAAATAAGGCAGGATTATCTGATCCAGTGCATCGGAGACAATCTTGGATGCATCCCATCATCATCAAACATCTTAGGTAAGCTGCTGTGCGCTGCACTTTGTCAGAGGTGGGGAAGTTAACCAGGACCTTTGCCAAACCAACTACTTGGTTCTCATCCCTGAAGTTTTTCTTCCCGTGAAAGTGCAACACACAGTCTCAACACAGGACAAAGTATAACGTTCATCTTTTCAAGTACAACATCTTCTTAGCTTATTTCTGGTGCAGGAGTCAACTTCCGGCCCATTGTGGTCTGCAAGTACAGTTGGTGTAACCTCTATAAACATACCTGCACATGAATGCAGAATCTGTAGGCAAGGCGCCAATATTTTCTGGTTCTGGTTTCCATTTTTTAGACTGAGTAGTAGTGACAAATCCTGTTTGAGCGGGCTTTGGTTGCATGGAGGTAAACAGTGCGTGTGGAGACCAAAAGAAAAGCGAAAATTGAAAAGCAATCTCAGAAACATTGGCTATTGTCCGACAATTATTTTGCTTTTAATTAGCTTTTTTAAAAATAATTTGCATTCATATGCAGATATCTGTTTATAGAGATTGGATGAAATGTTTTTCTTATCATTCTCACAGATCAAGTTGCTCCTGCAAAGACAAAAAATTTTGGCTGGATATCCATTCTCTAGATATCTGTTGGCTACACCGGAAGCCCTGAAACATTGGCCGTAGCCCTTAGAAGCTAAATTGCCATCAGGCGATAGCCGTTTGGCTTCGGGATTGCAGTTGGAGAGAATCATGGTTGTTGTGGGTGTTTCTTCCCTGTTCTTCTTCTAAGGGCACTTGCCCACTTGCTTACAAACTTAGACAAGCCACTAAGACTTATTCCTGTGTCACCAGGGATGATTCGACAATGATCTTCCCCCAAATGGATTGACAGGATGTGAGAATTTGTCTACAGATGCAGCCGCCTAGAATTGCATGACAGGTCTATGACAGACTGAATGGAAGGAATGGATAGATATGGCTGGGGGTGGCAATTCATAATGGTTGTCTTTGGGAAGCCAATTAACTGACTCGGTTATATTTTCATCAATTCCGTACATATACCTGTATATGCTTACATTTATATGTGTGTTATTGTTTTTATATCCCATGGTTCAAATAAGAACCAAAAAAGATGATAACATGCTTTCCCCCCATCCCCCTTTTTCCACTGGGGCTGGATGATGGATTAAAGTGCAAGACTTAAACTAGGTCTGCACACCACTCTTGTTCCATGATTTTCTATTGCAGTAAACATCGTTGTCACCAGATTTTCCCCCCTCAACAGGCGTGTTGAATCAGTGATGGGCGCTCATGCTCTGCAGATTTTCATTTCATGCAAATGCCACAGAGGCTTATTTCACTGATTACTTTTACCTCCTCTCTGGTTGGAAGGTAATCAGTGAAATCAGCTGGTGTGACACATGGTTGTGTCTCACACATTGTTGCCCATCTCTGATCTTAATGCTGTTTAACAGCCTTTTGAAACACTGAATCTCTTTGCTTTTTTGAGAATGGATAGAAAACGTTATTGATAATTGTCTTTTTTAATTTTAAATGATATTCGAACATGCAATGCTCAATCTAACTAGGGATACACCATTTTCTCCCGTGATGTAGATTCTGAAACCAGTAGTAGTACAGCACATACTGTAGTTGCATCACTAAATCCAAAGTTGTAAAGCACATATTTTCATGCATTCTTCCAAATCCAGTTGGCATTAAGTAGTGTTAAGAGCTACAGCTCTCTTGTCCTCTTTCCCCTGCTTTTCCCCCCCCTTTCCTGCCATCTGTCCTCTTTTGCTGACTTTTGTCCTCCCCATCCCTCGCTACATACTCTGTCCCCCTCACCCTTCCTCTTCTGTCCTCCTCCTCCCTATGAGAGATCAGAGAGGATCTTTTTTCACCCCGCTGAGCTCATTTCACAACATGAGGCAGAGAGGGAAACAAGTACAGCTTCAGTATTGTCAAAATGAAGTGTGTGTGTGTGTGTGTGTGTGTGTGTGTGTGTTGTGCGTGCTTGCGTTTTAACATCTTCAAATTTTTCCAAAGTCATTATAAAACACACAAGCATCACATCCTGTAAGATATTACAGGTTGTGACTGTTTGATATCTACATTCTGATTCATCACTTCCCTAATGATTGACTGATCTGTGTACCTATCTGGCCAAAAGTATGTGGATATCCCTGTTCATGCACACTTTTGGTCAGTCCCACCCAACACCTTTAGAATGAGCTGAAAAGCAAGAACTTATCGCCCATCATCAATGTTGGACCTTACTAATGCTCTTGTGGCTGGAAATCCCTGCAGACAGGTTCCAAAATCTGGTGGAAACCCAGAAAGAAGAATTACCCACTGATTTATTGTACTGGACCTGTAATTTCTTAATTCTATAAGAAGTTTCCTGCATGTAATGTGGGGTAAATGGCGCAAGAGTACTTTTCTTGAATGAAAAGGTGCACTTACTGAAATATTCTCGGATACACTAGAAGTTCAGTGGAACTCAATTTTCCTTCCTTCCTTTATTGGGATTTATTGTGGAGTACTGTTTTGAAGCCTTGAGTTCAACATTATGGTTGTTGCCATGTTGGTTTTCCAGAGCCAGCAGTGGTGACATTCTGCGAGTTTGAGATACTTTAATTGGCTGTGCTTAGTTTCGACTCGTCCGTATCAGGAAACAATGGTTTCCCTGGCTGCACATGTTCTTGTATTCCTGATAAACAGCACACTAAAATATATTTCCGAACTGATTTGAGGAGAGTAATAGACAAGGCAGTAACAAAATCTTGATTCATATTTGATCAGCACTGCCTAGTTTGACAGTTTGATCTGAGTTTGGTGCGTTAAGCTGGACAGACTCACTAAAAATCACTCAACCACGAGGTAGCCACACACAAAAGCATATCCCTATATTGTCTTTGTGTTTTACTCTAAATGAGACCATAATTTACAAAATAAACAACACGCCGAATGAACAAAGACTTGAAACTAGAGATTTAGACCATAAACTTATTAGGAAACAGTTTATTGAGATAATAAATAAAGTGAGATGTACGCTCATTTCTTCATAAGACGATCATTCTTCTTTTTTGAAGCCCATGGAGCTTCTCCCTGCTGGCCATTAAAAATAATGCAGATTTAAGACAGTTCCACATTGGCTTTACGTCACAGACCCAGAAGCTCGGTCCCCTAATTATATACTGTCAATGGTACAGACCGGTAAAAGAAAATAAAACTCAACTCAAACGTTCAGAGGCCCCAGAGCATTACCCTGACTGACCTCATCAGCCCCTGTTTTACATTATTGGCTGCTATGGCTCAAATTTGAAAAATCTGAGTTTCTTTTAGTTACAGTAGGGGTGTCATGGCTGCACAAGTTCACAGTGAAATCAATAGGGACAGACTGGCTTTGCTCACACATGCTACACACTCTCCACTCCACTCCAATCAGAGTCGACTTGTTCTCCTTCATTACTATCAGCCAGGCAGCTGCTTATCTTCCTCCCTTTTCCATCGTCTAATTTGTCTCTTACTGTCTGTCTTCCTCACTCCAAGCTCTTTCTTATGTATCATATGCATAATCTCTGTGAGTTGACTCAATCTAGTGAAATTGAGTTTTGGTGTTGCTGCTGGTGTTGGAAGGTTTGCTGGAAGCTGTAATCAATACTTGGGAGCCATGGGGCCATTATGGAAATCAAGTGGCATTAAAAGTTGCAGTGGTGGGAAAATGTGGCTGATTGCTAAGCAAAATCTCTAAAAGTCATGTGACCTTTTTATCTCGTTCTTGGCCATTTTCGTACGTCAGGATTTACGTTTGTTTAGTAACATGTCAAGTTTTCAATAAAGTGTATTTTCTCACCAAAACAAGTAGAAGAAAATTAATCAAAAACAATTTTGATAAATCAATTTAAATTAAAACGTCCAGTGTGTAATTTTGTAAAGATAAGAAATGTCAGAAATGGAATATAATATTCATAGATATGTTTTCATTAGTGTATAATCACCTGAATCTAAAAAAAATGTTGTGTTTTGTTACCTTAGAATGAGACTTTTTTTTTTTATCTACAGACGCCGTGTATTGTCTTTCATTGGGTTCCCCATGTTGAAATGCAAAGTTTCTAAAGTGCCCAGAATGGACTAACTAAACAGTTGCTCTAGCACTGTTAGCATTTTTTGTGCATTTCCCAGCCACCATAGTATCTCCTTTGTGCTTGGAAGGGGAGGGTGAAGCAAGGGAGTTGCAATCAAACAAATACAGACATTTATCAAACAGAATTGACAACTGAATGTCTTTGGAATTTTGTGGATCTCCAGTGTTTCTCAATTTTATATTGTTGATCAGACAAAATAAATAAGCTGAAGACGTCTGTGTCATCCGAATTACCAACTGGGAAAAGTAGGCAACTGCTCCAGGGCCCCAGACCCCAGAGCCCCAAGGACCCCAAAACCTCTAGGTTTCACTAGGGTTTTGGTCAATTTTTTTCTACCCAGGGGCCTCCTAACAGGTTAATCTGGCCATGATTGGGATATTGTAATGGACTTTTTTCACTATAGATTAAATTATTAATTAGTTTGTTTGGCCCTGTAACTTGTATAGCGCCTTTTTAGTCTTCCAACCACTCAAACTGCTTGTACACTACGTGCCACATTCACCCTTTCACACACATTCACTCAGTGATGGCAAAGCCCAAACAGAAACTAACGCATTCATACACATTCACACTCCGATGCACGGCATCAGGAGTAATTTGGGGTTCAGTATCTTGCTCAAGGAAACTTAAACATGTGGCAGGAGGAGCCAGGGATCGAACCAACAACCTTCCGATTTGTAGACGTAAACTAAAACTAAAATTAGTAAACTATGATGTTGACAGTGATGCGATGCAGCACTCACAAGCCATTCAATTATTTTGACATGTTTTTACTCATATGATTCATTTAGTTCTTTTCTTTTCTCAGCATCCATTGGGACACTGCAGACAGGTTGGCAGTCCATAACAGAGGGCCCAACAAACAGTATGTATTATACATTCATATATTGGTATATTCTCTACACTTTCACTCCATGCATGTCTCCTCTGCTGACCAGCTGAGTTCAGAACTCGCAGGCTGTCCAGGACTTGAGTACTTGTTTGGATATGCGCTGCTGACAATGAACAAACACTGCTCCATGCATGTACACACACAGAGCTCTAATCCTTACACACACTGTACAAACCGTGGCCATAATGCACAGCACAAGGTAAATAACAAAGGGGAAGAAGATGGTAAAATAGCCAGAGGCTGCTGGAAACTGCATTCTGCTGGGAAGAGCTAACACAAAACTGAGTATCTCATCCTGATAACTGAAGTTTATGATGCAAGGATACTGGAATCAGGAACTAGTATCCATCCATAGTGGTGTTGTGTGCATTGTGGCAGCAGCCTTGTAGCACTTAAAGGGGTTATGATTATGAGGCCATGGAGTATGTACTGTGATACAGTACAAGAGTTATGTCAGCTGTAAAAGTGTGACAAATAGTTCCTCCACCCTCCTGGGTTTTCATGGAGCTGTATATAGCTGCACAAACATCAGCAAAAACTATGATAACACACACACAGAAAGAAGAGAACAGACTCTCCTCCTTTTGACAAAACAAATCACAGACCAGTCAGAGCTCGCCTTCAGTGTCCAGCAGGCTGCACAGCATGCATTAGGGTTGGGCCATAAATTCAAATTTTCCAACCAGCTACCGTCAGCCCAACAAATGTGACTGTGTCATTGTGCTGTGCCGATGAATGAGGTTCTGTCGCTGAGCTGCGGTTCTTGTTCTTGGAAGGCAGACCATTAAATTAGCAAAATAAAATGATAAAAATTCCCCCAAAACAATAATCGGCGATGGACGTTTTCCCAGATGAATTCAAAATTAGGCCCAGAGTTGCTCTATCCCAGATGTAGCACACAAATGGAGATCAGTTTCAGACGTATGTTCTCACATGTTGGTGCTTAGGGAGAGTGTGCACAATAGTGAACTAAACATCTTGATAGTTTGGCTTTAATTAATTATTTTAAGCTATAAAAAGGGAGTTTCACATCATGATTGACAGCTGAGACCTGCTCATAACTGAGTCATCCGGGCGTATGGGCAGGACTTCAATTTTGTGGCGCCAACCCAGATTGCTTTTACGCAGACTCTGGCTTCGAATGGCAAAATATATTTTGGCTTCATTTTTGTTGAGTGGAAGGAAGTAGAGATGCAACGTCCATCTTGGTTAAAATCAATATAACATATATTTGCACCAAGGATGAAATGGTTAGCGGTTTTCCACGGTGAAAACAATGAGGGACTCCCACACAATGTCTCCCTTACATCTGAAAAAATATTATTTATTTATGACCAGTAAGCGAGAATCCCTCATTCAAGTTGCACCTTCCTTCAACGCACCTGTCACACATTCAGGTGTGCAGAGATTTCTTTCCATATATTCACAATAAACCATGATAATATTCACAGTTTCAATTTTGAACCTTTGAACCACAGTTAACAACCGACTCCCAGACATGGACATACACGCAACTTCGGTGTGCTTTGTGTCAGTTCAGTGTGTGTTTCAGTACTTTTTAAACAATTGCCACACATTTTAACATTACCACAATAACAGTGATAACTGGGTCACTATAATCATGATATCATATTTTCTTCCCATTTAATCTCCAATTTGGGGCTAAAAGGGTATACATCTCCTTAAAAGATAGAAAGAAAAAAAAGTTCATTAAAGTCATAACAAACTATGATAACTCCTTGTTTTAGTTCTCCTGTAAAGTCGGTGCAATTCATACTCCCCTTTTCAATTCAAGCTCACATGGAAAAACATAGGAAACTCCACAGATTAAACATATCACAACACTCAATGACATTTCAAGACAGAAAGAAACCAGGAAATCCAAATAATGGATATGCATATCAGAAGCAAACCCGAATTCTTGCATTAAGTGCAGTACCTACAAACTTAAGACACACCAGCAATTGCCATCAATATAATACTTGAATGCTCAAGTGTTAACTGTAATGCTATAACGAGTGCTCTATGAATATATTTAACCTACTTTCTTACAATCCAATATTCACAATCTGCCAAGCCAAAAACGAGTCTGCCTGACATCCTGCCTGGTACATCACCACTGCCTTCTTCCCTGTGTTTGCTTCTTCCTTTAGGCTGAGTTTAGTCACAATATGCACCAGAGCAGTGCCAGTAGCAAGGTGTTGCTCCCTCCTGTGTTTCTCCTTCCAGCTGTTTGTAACGGCACAGACCTGCCAGCTATACAGTACACATAAAGTACAATTTTCACCCCAAGCTGCTCCCGTACTGTTCTGACGTCAATCAGTATCAGAATTGGGTTTATTGCCAAGTAAGTTTTTGAACGTACAAGGAATTTGTCTTGGTACATTGGTGCATAAAAATCACACAAAAAAAAGTACTTTTTAAAATATAAATAAAAAACCGGTCACTGCAGAGGCAAAGTGACCTCTCAGAAAACTGAAAGCTTGCAGCAAGGCTGAAACATCCAGGTAGGTCTCGGGGGATAAGTTTTGGTTTACCCCTCTCTGTTATCTTAGACAGAAACTCCAAATTTGGTCAATTGGAAGAAGCCTGGAAGCAGGTTAGGAACATACTTCTGTTTGAATGGTATCATTGGAAGTTCTCTGTAAAATTTGGAGGCCAAACACTCGCCGCCCACCACCACCGTGGACACTTCAACCAGTTTTCATGAGTCAGTTGCCCTTCTGTCCTGAAACTAACTAACCAAGTTGTCCAGGCTGTCAGTGGAAGAGAAGCAGCTGGTGACTCCATGTGTTTTTGAGGACACACATGGCGGTCTTCACCCAGTCTCCTCAGGCCAGCAGAGGGAGTTGGCAGGGACGAGAACTGTGGGAGTCACTGGGAACAACTACAGCAAATGTGGAGGAAAAAAGGAAAGTCAATGTCATCTTGTTTGTTTTCTTTTACTTCGCACTCAAGATAAAATAGCATTGCTGCTACGGATTTGCCCAATTGTTCTTAAACTTTTTTTGTAAGACAAAAACAGTCAATTTCCCCACCCCACCCTTTGTAAACTGGTACATATCAACCTTCCCTTGACAAATGTAGGTGAACATTAGAACACTAATTGAATACATGGCATTTGCTGTTTGAAATATTGCCTTTTTTGTCTCTTAACATTTGATATTAGTGGAGATCAGAATCAGAATCAGTTTTATTGCCAAGTAGGTTTTTACATAGAAGGAATTTGTGGAAATAGTGGACTGCCTTTACTATAAAACCTGGTTAACTTTGCAAACAGCCAGAACAGGAAAAAGCTTTCCCACACTGACACTGAATTCAAGAGCAAGATAGGGTTTTTTTATATTTAGGATTTGACCAACATGATTGCTTGAACAGACACCACTTGCTTTTTTACTCCTGTCATAGCACGGTGGGTTGTCTTAGCTTGTATTGTATACCAAGCAAGTGTAAACCTGACATGAAGTCACCAATTTTTTTAGATATATTTTATTAATCCCCCAATCCCTACAATTCCCACAATTCACTGGCTGTTTAGACATGCAGATGTGCTGCCACTTAGCGGTGCGTCGGGAACAGTTAGGGGTCTCTCTAGCTACCAGTCCACACTCCATACTGTGGTCTGTGCTGGACTTGAACCTGCAGTTCTAGACAAACACTGTATTCTACAGGTCTTGTTCATGACACACCTGTTAACTATGATTCCACTAAAACTGTTCGAAATGTGTGCTGGTTCACTAGATAGCACCAGAGTTCTAAGAATCTTTATTGGTTCAAGAGCCAGAACTAATTTGGTGGAGAAGGGGCCAGAGTGCCACTGAGCGAAGTTTTGAATTTGAGAAATAATACAGTGATTGTACTATGACCTCTGTGTACACGTTATTTGTTTGTGTCGGTGTTCCTCTGTGTCACACACTCCAACTAACAGCCTGTTCAATTTCTGTTTTTCTTTGAAGCAAGCTCCCAGTTGTTTTTATTATGGAAGAAAAAGAGTCCCATAATTGGGATAGATATAAGATTATATTGTGTTTCAGAAGAGGCCTTTGATATCACTGATAGTAACTTGGCTTTTTCGTCTTTGATTAGACATGAAAGCGCCATCGGCACAATGTGGCACAGCAGCGAGTACAGGCTCACTCTGCTGTTTTTAATGACCATTTACTTTCCATTTGCATAATATGTGGCAGTAAATAGAAGCCTTTGCTTTAGATCAAAAAATATATTCATGCATTTATGTATATCTATTACTGACTAGACAGAAATGGGCTACGATGATTACTTTGTGAGCCGACATGAAAGCCAAATTAAAGTTTGATTACAAAGCTTGTCGAATCTTTGCGAGCGTTCATACCTTATCAAGGTTTAGCTTTGACTGAGTTGGCGGTCACATTGAAAGTAAATTGTGTTTGTTGTTTGTTTGGCTCCGTCTCTGTCCTTTTTGAACGTTTCTGAGTGTGTAGACCCACACAGGCCGAGGAACAATCCCTAAAGATGAACAGGGGACTAATCTCTTTCAGACAACTGCTTTGTTTCTGCCATCCCTCCATTCTGTCTTTCCAACTACCCGTTTTCTTCACTCAGACAGAATGAGTTTGTCATTGGGCATAAAGGGAACACATAAATAATACTTCAAGTCACACTGAGGTTTTGACCTTCTTTCTGCAGCTTGAGGTGAAGCTGCTGAACCTGAGAGGATGTGGCGAATCTGTGCTTTGTTTACAGCTTCCAGGGAATGTGTGTGTGTGTGTGTGTGTGTGTGTGTGTGTGTGTGTGTGTGTGTGTGTGTGTGTGCATGTGTGTGTGTGTTCAGAGGACAGGGTAGGTAAGCATTTTTTTATTTAGTACTTTCGATTAACCCCAGCATGCCTGTTTAATACCAGGGTCTATGATGGATATTGTCTATTTTCAGCTGTGGGATCAGGAGCCAAGTTTGTAAACTGTAACTGCTGCTGTGTTGAAGTGTTTGTTCTCTG